GTTCCAGGCACGTCCCACTGGGAGATGGTCCAGAGGAAGACCCAGGACACTCTGGAGGGACTGTTTCTCAGCTGGCCTGGGAACATCTTGGGATTCCCCTGGATGAACTGGCCCAAGTGACCGGAGAGAGGGAAGTCTGGGTCTCTCTGCTTAGACTGCTGCCCCCACGACCCAACCCCAGATAAGCGGCAGAAAACGGATGGACGGAACCTTCAGGGAGGATATACTGTAGCTCACTCATACTGATGATCTATCCACTTCATCTTTTACCCAGAATGCTTTGCGTGTAAATAAAATGGCTCCATCCGTGTTAAAATATATTTTAAAAAATTTACAAAACTAAACAGCCTACAATATTTTTACAGTCTTTATTATTTTACAGTTAAAATAAATGTTTATTAAATAAAGTTTAATGTCACAACTAATCAGGGATCCCTTAAAAGTAATGTTTCTTTTTTAAAATAGTATTCTATGAAATGTCTTTAACCCAGGAGAACATCTAAAGGGTGTTTAATGCAGGGTTCGACAAATCCTATTGCCCGACTGCCCTGGGCAGGTAAAACTCATATTCAGGCAGGTGTGTGTGTCCCGATGCCTGCCCAACTGGGCAGGTAAACAATTTCATTTTTTTATAGGGTCATTTATTCTAAATATTCTGAAAATAAATGAAGAAATAGTGTTTTAAAACACGTATAGAAAGAACAAAACCTCAAAATTTCCCCCTCCTGCTGTAGAAAAGTTACGTCGTGTTGCAAGATCCTAATCTCTCCCCCCCGCTGCACGTTGCGAAGCTTTAACAACCGTATTTTTTTCACACCCAAGTTGTCGGAGAAAAAACTTGTTTTTTATATATTGTTACCCACAGAGATGATAAAAAGATGGGGACGTTCGATCAGTCATAAATCCATCTTGCTAATGTCGGCTTGTGCTCTGAGCGCAGAGCAGCAGCCGTCAGTTCAACCGGCTCACGGTATGGCAGGCCAATATTGCATTTATTTGGCTTCACCATGCTTACATTCTAGTTATCTGAAATTGTTTTATGACTAAATTGGACAGATTAGTTATTTAGGATAAAATAGTGAGATTTTTTTTTATTTACATTTTTTTTTAAAATTTGGAGATCTTTCCAGCTTGAGCTTGTTTGTTTGTTGAAGTTGCTTTTTGGAAATAAGGGGCACATATGATAACAGTTATTTTTCACTCTGCACCCTTTTAATTCAGGGTATGATTTACTTTGTTTTTTAATGCTGTACATGTTTTGTTTTTATGAATGAAATAACGAAACAAATAAATAGACATGTCTTATTAATAAATTTTGACAAGGCAAAATACCTATTTAAAATATCTCTACTTTCTGACTAGTGTAAATAACATTAGATTTATCATTAGGTTTTATGGAGACACCAGTTCAAGATATTTTAAATGTATCTTTAGAAATGAGATAGGCTATATAAGATTCAGATAATGCAAATTTCAGACTTTGCCATGTTCTGCAAATTGTATTTAAAACAAAGATGCTGCTGTTGATCATTCTGTTTTTATAAGCAGCCCTCCCAAGGCCAGTACTCTAGGGCAGGGCTATTCAACTAAATTGCTCCGGGCACCACAGTTACTGCAGGTCAACAGCTGAGGGGCCGAACATCCAGCAATGAAAGTTATTATGTAAATAAATCAAGTATTACAAAGATCTGTTACCTTTTGAATTAGTTTATTTTGCTGCATTTAATCATGAATACAACATACAGAACCCTATAAAAGTAGTGATAATTAAACGTTATCAAAAAGAACACATTAGGCCTCCTATTTGACACTAATATTTTGACATCTCTGACTTGCCAAATTTTTAAACTTCACTTTCATCATTTTATCTGCAACTGACTGTAGTTTTAACTGTCTTGAGTGTTCATAGAAATGCTTTTTTATCAGCTTCTAGCCAAGATTCTGAAGTTTCTGTAGATACCAAACATGTCTATGTTTAACTAAAAGAACTTAGAGTAATTAAAGTAGAAAACCGGGGGTTTGGGCTTAAGAGATGAATAAACCAATTGGCGGGTCGAACTTTGGTCACTCCGGCCCGCGGGCCGCCAGTTGAATAGCCCTGCTCTAGGGAAACACTGGAAAGGTCTGATAATATAATTGAGTATTAGTGATTTAGTCTGCAATGTTTGCATCTGCTAAATCAGATGTCACATGTTATATACTTCTGTGTGTAACTATGTTAATATTTTTGTAGTACCAATACTGTACACGTTTTTCTTATATTTTATCAAATTTTGAACATTTTTGTTTTGGACAAGTAAATTTTCTTGTCAGGCAGGTGACAAAAAATGTCACCTGCCTGATACCTGCCTTACCTTCGGGCAGGTAAAAAAAAACTTGTTGAACCCTGGTTTAATGTTATAGTTTCTGTCATAAAAAGTATTTATTAACAAGCTACGCTGCCAAGTCAGTGAAGTTATTTACTTTGACAAATCTGGGATGCATTATTATTTAACATTAATTTTACGTCATAAAGTAATTTTTTTTGTTTTGTGTTTGTCTGTCCTTAGAAAGCAAATTACTACGGCTCCCTCCTGCAGTCGTCCACGGTTTGTCTAGGCTCAAACCTGGAAGGCGAGGTCAACGTGCCGTTCCGTGACCTCCTGCCCATGGTGCATCCTAATGACATCATCTTTGACGGTACGAAAAATTTCAGGGGTTCATTTATTGATTTAGTCCCATAAAAACAAGACTGAGGCTCTATGCAAATGATGAGTCATTCCGATACTTTAATTGTGTGCACTAATGTGGTAGATTGAGGAGATATTAATCATGTTTCTTTTTTTTTTTTTCAGGTTGGGATATCTCCTCCATGAATCTTGGCAGAGCAATGGAGCGAGCGCAGGTGCTCGACTGGCCATTGCAGGAGCAGCTGAGACCACACATGAGCTGCCTGAAACCAAGACCATCCATCTATATCCCAGAGTTCATTGCTGAAAACCAAGAGAGTCGGGCAGACAACGTCTTAACTGGTACTATGGCAGAGCAGGTGAAGAGTGTTTCCTTGTTACGTAAAGCCTTTTTTGTTGTTGTTCTTAGTGCCAGTTTGCTTAAAAAGGAAATAATCTTTCAGATGGAGCAAATCAGAGCTGACATAAAAGACTTCAAGCAGTCCAGTGGTGTGGACAAAGTAATTGTTCTGTGGACAGCCAACACCGAGCGCTTCTGTGATGTCATCCCCGGGGTCAATGACACGGCCAAGAACTTGCTGGCTGCAATCCTGGTGAGTTCAACCTGCGGTGACGCTCGTCCAAAATGATCATCAAGAAGCTCATCCTAAACACTGATTTACGTTTCCAGTCTCGCTTACTGTGTGACGTAAATTGCGTAATTTGCATCGGTTTTCTCCCGCTGACACCCTGTCTTGTACATCGACCCCAGTCAGAACTCTGTCTTGCAAACTGCAGTGGCTTGCTGTGTCTTATTAGTCAGCACTTTGTGGTCATGCTTGTCTTTGTGAAGCAGCATCCTTCTGCACGTGGTTTTGCTGAAAGTGATCCTTTTTTAGAAGCTAGTTGTTAAATTAGCAAGATGGAATGTCCAACCAACGGATACGACTTTGTTCCGCTGCTGCGGTTCACAAGATAAAAAGAAAAGACTTATATAACAACATGTTATCCATGTTATCCAACATATAATTTTTTTAAAATCATTTTATTCATTTTTATTTGTAACAATACACAACAAAAAAAAAACCATGCAATCAAAATAAAATAAAAGGCAGCAGAAGAAGAATAAATCTTTTAAAGGAGACCAATTATGGGTCCTATAAATTTTTATGGTATGTCTGTGGGCTATCCAGATTCATTCAATTTAATGCACAAAATAATTCTCAGATAATAAAATTTCCCATTTTCTAGTTCTGCCTGCTCTGACTTCCGTTCAGAAGAGCTGTTTATGTTAATGACCTCTGTTGGTAACGCCCTCCAAAAATCTGTTGACATTAACTCCGCCCTCCAAAGCCAGCGTTTACGTTAGCATGGCTAATAATAGCAGAAGCTCCGTTGTACAACCATATCAGAGACCCAGAGGCAGAGTCGTGGTCGCAGCTTCTTTTATTTTCACCCCCTCCTCTGCTCTGTGCTCACTCTGCATGCTGTTACCAGAGCAGGGAGCAGTAGCAGTCAAAATACCTCAGAAACTCGAACAAATAGGCTTTAACAAGGCTTTAATAAGCTAAACAATGGAGGTACATGAGAAAACGTGTTCATAACGAACGAAAATAAATAATTAAAGGATGTTCGTGCTGGTCTCGAACACTGCTGTCCCACTCTCTGGTCCAACGCTCTACCCATTGCCCTATTGGAGGCTTGTTGTGAAATGAGCTGCACATTACACAACAACAACCGTGACGACATTTTATACTGAGGAGGTGGAGCTTCACCCGGGGGTTGCTAGGTAAGGGGCTGAACGCAGGTTCCTGTGGGTTGTCGTACGGCTTGTGACATCACAAAATGACGGAAGTATAAAACTTGTCGTTAATACACATTAAAAATACATTTACTTACAGTAAATATGCCCCTAGGTGCATTTATTTTGGTCCTAGGACTGTTTTTTTAAGAAGTACATAACCAATGTTGAGTAAAAAAAACCTTTAAAAAGTGAATTTTGCATAATAGGTCCCCTTTAATATCTGCCCCTTTTTTATACCCAAAAAATGTTCAAAATAAAAGTAAATTACAACAAAAATCAAAACTGAAAACACACAAAAAACTAAAACAAAGCTAAATTTAAAACACCAACTCTAAACAACAATTAGCATTAATTCACTTATGCTTCTCCATATGTAACTCTTCAAATGTCTGGTACATCACTGAGTGAAAACAACAACTATCAATCCTGCTATCATTGTGTAAATTCTCAGCTTTGAGCGATGGGTGCTAAACACCAGGTATTGTACTCCTGTTAGATTTTTTTCTTACTACTGTCTTGTTTTTTTTTTTTTTTTTCCTCACCAGAGTGGAGCAGCAGAGATATCTCCATCCTCTCTGTTTGCAGTAGCCAGTATACTGGAGGGCTGCGCCTACATCAACGGTTCTCCGCAGAACACTTTCACTCCAGGAGTTGTGGAGCTGGCCGTGCAGAGAGGTGTGTTCATCGGGGGTGACGACTTCAAGTCTGGTCAGACCAAGATCAAGTCGGTGCTTGTGGACTTCCTGGTCAGCGCAGGTATCAAGGTGAGAGGAAGGATGCGCGGACGTTAGTAGCACGTATACACTGGGGTGCAGAAGCGGTGAAACACAGCTCTGAAATCAACAATATCCATTTCCTCTCCAAACAGCCAACCTCCATCGTCAGTTACAACCACCTCGGCAACAACGACGGGAAGAACCTGTCGGCCCCTCAGCAGTTCCGCTCCAAAGAGATCTCCAAGAGCAATGTGGTGGATGACATGGTGCGGTCCAACCCCATCCTGTACCAGCCTGGAGAGAAACCTGACCACTGTGTAAGCAAAGAGTGCCGACACAGGAAAACCTTTGTGTGTGTGTGTGTGTGTGTGTGTGTGTGTGTGTGTGTGTGTGTGTGTGTGTGTGTGTGTGTGT